AGAATTTAAAAAAAAAAAAATATATGTGCATATGTTGTTTAAGTGTTTTTTATTATTTCATTTATTTTTGTCTATTTCATATATCTGTTGTAAAATTAAAGTTTTTTGTTATTATTCCTGGAATTATTGCATTTCTTTTTGACTACTTCAATTTCAAATCAAACTACTTCAATTTGTTATAATTACATTTGTTTTTGTCTATTTAATATATACGTTGCAAAATAAAAATATTTTATCAAACTGTTTTGTTATTATTAAATTTGTTTTTGTCTATTTAATATATATATATATATATATATATATATATATATATATATATATATATATATATATATATATATGTTGTAAAATAAAAGTATTTTTTTATTATTACATTTGTTTTTGTTTACAATTTCAATAATATGAATATAATACATTAAATATGAATACGGAGATAGGAGTTATCAGTGCCTTTTCAGAATTATCTGTGTTAAGGTTGTAAACATTTTCAGATAGCAGTCAGTCCCGACCAGCTATTTAAGGAGTACCTATTTTTTTTTGCTTTTCAGCTTCCATTACTAATTTTTTCTACTCTTGTTTCAAATGGAAGACAGATTGTTCCTACAACTAAATACTTACTACTTTACACTGATTACTACATATCTGCATATATTTTCATTATTCTTTTCTTATATTATTTTTATTACTACTACTATCACTTAATTACTTATTTATTACTTTACTTGCATAATCTTTCTACTGTTACTCTTGTTATTGTTTATTCATTTGTTTATTCTCTATGTATTATTACTGATATTTTCTTCTTCTTTTACTTTTTCTACAATTAAATTCTTACTATCTTACACCTATTCTTATGTATGTTTACATCTATTGAAATTATTACATTTCCTTTTATTCTTATGTGGGTATAAATCTATATAATACCTAAACATGGCAGTACTGCAATGGCCTAAAAACACATTTTAATGATTTAAAAATTTTAATACAAGATACAGACCCATTTTGCCTTGCCCTTCAAGAGACACACCTTACAATAAAAGACACCTTAAAATTTTTTGATATATATAGAAAAGATATCCCAAACCCAAACCACAGTCATCACAGAATATTAATAGCCATTCGCAAATCCGTATATTCAGAATCAATCCATATAAACTCTAATCTACAGAGGGTTGCAGTCAAAGTTCACTGGGGCTTCGCTTTTTCCATATGTAACATATACCTTCCACAAGACCGTACAATAGATACACAACAACTCTTAGACATCTACAATCAACTACCCCGTCCTGTTCTTTTTATTGGGGACATCAACGGTCTTAACCCCTTATGGGAATCCCAAAGCATTAACACACGAGAGAAAATAATGGAAGATTTTTCAGATATTTTTAATCTACTTTTACTTAACACTGAAGAACCTACCTTCCTTAGCCATAGCTGGTACTTTCTTATCAATCGACATTTCTCTGTCCAATATTTCATTTCACAATATTATGAACGATATTGCCGGAGTTGTACAGTATTGATCATTTCCCGACTGTCATAAAACTCAAAACAACAAATCCCACTTGGGTAAAATCAAGATGGATCCTAAACAAAGCTGATTGGACTCTATTCACTTCCTTAGCATCACCACCTCAAATCCCCACAGACCAAATAAATATCGACCGGGGCTGTGAAACCATCATGAGTACGATACTAGAAATGGCTAAAACATCAATCCCACTAAACTGAGGCTTACCAAAAAGACAACTTGTTCCTTGGTTTAATGATCTCGGCAAAAAAACTGTTAAAGATCGCTGTAAAGTCTATAAAAAGTTCCAAAAATGTGAGACCGAATCATAGAAAAAATGTTTGAACTCCATAAACTCCTCTGCAACATCAACTGATGTCTGTACCAAAATCCGTCAAATCACCAAAACTCTCTCCCTCTCGTTACACTATTTTAATCAATGGACGGCTATTCGACAACCCATTAACATTTTCCAATTTTTCTCGAAAGTTTTTAACTCCGAAAGAAATAGTCTTAATTCCGAAGAAATGGATTTCGACGTAACAACGAAAGATGAATCACTTTGTTACAACCTCCCATTTTCAATGTGGGAATTCAAAAATGTTTTAAGTAATGTTAAAGGCTCTACTCCTGGCCCTGATCATGTACATTATGACATGATAAAAAAACCTTCCAGGTAATACACTAGAATGGTTGCTTGGATATTATAATCAAATCTGGTCTGCTGGACGTTTCCCAAATAACTGACGTGATTGGGTGGTAGTTCCAATTTTGAAAAACGGAAACAACAAACATTCACCAACCATTTATCGCCACATATTTCTCGTTAGTTGCTTAAATAAAATAATGGAACGGATGATTAACAGAAGACTAATGTGGATAATGGAGAATAACAATTTGATTCAACCCTTTCAGTCAGAATTCTGCTAGGACTGATGCACTATAGATCATTTAGTTACATTGGAAGCCGAAACACAATATACATTTATCAACAAACAACAAACAATAGCAATATTTTTCTATATGAAGATGGCTTTTGATAACATAAACCACTCCCTAATACTCAATAAACTATCATCCATTGTAATAAGAAGACAAATGTATCGCTATATTAAACAATTTCTCATACATCGCTGCTTAAGGGTACAAATAGAATGCGAATTATCCAATTATCACAAACAGCTCAACGGTGTCTCCCAGGGTTGTATTCTAAGCCCAGCTTTGTTCTGTCTGGTGATTAACGATCTGGGGCTCAACTTGCCAAGAGGAGTTAAACCACTATTGTTCGCAGATGATTTAGCTATATTTTGTAGATCTGAGAATATTACCACCATAAAATCCAAATTACGGGACGCTATTAATAGAATCAACAACTGGTCCCTCTCCATTGGTCTTCGATTTTCTCCCGAGAAAACTAAATGCATACATTTCAGTAGGAAAAGAAATACGCCTAATTCACCCAAAATATACCTAGGTAATTCCTCAATCCTATACTCAAACCCGCATAGATTCTTGGGTTCGACTTTTGACCGAAAAATGACATGGGAATCGCACGTCTCTACACTAAAAACATCCACAACAAAAAGATTAGCTTCATTGAAATATCTAAACAGTATTACCAGGGGCTCAGACAGATTTATGCTGCTAAAACTATACCGTGCTTTAAAATGCTCCAAATTAGATTATGGGTGCTTTGTATACAGTTATGTCCGCTATTAGACCCTGAAAAAACTTGATGCAGTCGATCATACAGGCATTACAATCGCGACTGGTACATTTCAAACAAGCCCCATTCTCAGTCTCTGTTCTTAGGCTGGTATACCCCCTCTTTTGTTTAGAAGGAAAGAACTGGCTATTAACTATATTTAAAAATTTCTTCCTCAAAATAAACATCTTACCCATAAATGCGTCTTCAAATCAAAATTTTCCAGCACCTTTAAAAACAAACCAAATTCTATACTTCCACTGTCAGAAAAAATCTATTCTGCAGCTCAATTCCTTAAGAACATACCTATACACAAAACAGAAATTCAGATCCCACCTTAGATCCACAAACCCCCCATAACAATGCTCCATCTATCCCGATTACGCAAAAGCAATACGTCATCCTCTGAATATAAATCCAGATTCTCTCATCTACAAAGTATCCCAGAACCATTCTTAATTTATACTGACAGTTCGAAATCTGATGATGCCACAGCTTCTTCTTTTGTTACTCATAATTCAAAACATAAGATAAAACTTCATAAATGATTTTTTTTAATGATTTCAGTGTACCACTATCCAAAAAGTTTGATAACCACAGTTTACTCAATAATTTGCTTTTTAATTTTTAAAATGCCTCTTTTTAGTCATATTTTTCCTGTAAGGAATAGACTTTTGCACTTCACTGAAGGTCATTTATTAACACACACACTTATGTGTATATATATATATATATATATATATATATATATATATATATATATATATATATATATATATATATACATACATGTGAAAGGAAGAAGTCTATACTCCTAAAATGTACTTTATTTATATATATATATATATATATATATATATATATATATATATATATATATTATATATATAAATAAAGTACATTTTAGGAGTATAGACTTCTTCCTTTCACTCACCCCTGTCGATTTTTTCTTAGTTTTTAAGTCTGTGAGTTATATACAGTCCTCACTTACTCAGAGTGGAAGGGTAATTAAGTTAAATGTATTGAATTTAGTAAGATTTTTTTGTAACTAATCACTTAAGGGTCAGTTTTACTTTTGGCTCCTTTTATAAACAGCACTATAAATTTCTAATTTGTAAATTTTTAAAAAAAATCTATTTATTGAATAATAATACAATCAGCCACTGCTGGAGGGCTATAAGCATTAGGGCTAAAAGTTCTCATTCATACAATATATACAAATAATAAAGAAATAAATATAAATATAAGAAGTAAATAAATAATACTGATGAAGAAGGTAAAATTTGTAAATGGATTTGCTTTCGAAACCATCTCTAAAGTTGCTCTTGGTTCATAAATTTAGAATGTAATTATTTTCAGATTTAAAAAAAAAAATTAGCAAATATTTTTTTTTTTCAAAACACCAAATTGTCTAATGAATATAAGTTTATTTTTATATTACTGAAGCAGAAATAAATGTTTCCACAGAAAGTAAATGGAATTTTCATTGAAAATAAATGGAGCATTAATTTTTTTTTCAGCTTGATAGGTTAAATATATTTTGCGGACACCATTGTCATGATTTATACTAATTGTCTTAAAATTTTATTTATATTTAAAGTACCTAATATTCTTAATGTTTATTAACTTTTGAAAATTTAATTTCTATTGAAAGCAGAGTAATAAGTGAAAGTTGCATTGCACCTGATTTTTTTACAAAATGTTATATAGATTATTTTTATTTTTATTCTAATATATACATTATTCATTAGTGGACTTTAATAGTATTTATTTAATTTTTTTCAGGCCATTCCGTTATGTTATATGTTGATAACAATTTTAGTTTTATTGTGCCATTTCCCTCCAGTGCTATCAGCGTTTCTAATCATTCAACTTTGTACATTCTTCATTGGGATGTTAATAGCTTCGAAGTTTTTTATATGGTTTCTTGGAATATTTTATTTGCTTCTCATAAGTGTTGGTAAAGATGTCTTTATGGTGAGTGGCTTTTTCAATTTTATAATTGAAGTAATGGTTGAAATATGAGCATATAAGTTTATATAACTTTTTCCATTTAATATTTTTAAAGATTAACAATAAATTTTCCTTTGACCTCTCTAAGTTTCATTGCAGAATTCAAAACCAAACTTCATGAAAGCTGTCATCCAATGTCATATTTTTATAGGAAAAAAAAAACATGAATCATATTGTTAGTCTTGAGATCAGCTCAATAATATGTGTGTGTTTGTTTTGTGTCACCAACATAATGATACAAATATTTGTATTTAAAAGTAGTTTTATTAAAAAAAAAAAAAAAACTTTAATTGCCCCTTTTTTGAGGCACTGTTAACTGTTATTGGTTTTGTAAATTTGTACTGAAGTAATTTCATTATAACTATTAAACTTTTATGTACTTGATTTTTGCTGGATTTATTTTTGTTAAATTTAGATACTATTTATGAATTTCCCTCCATGTTTTATGTCATCAAATAGATTTAAACAAAATTTCGTATATGTAATTTAATTCTTAAATCTTTTTAGGGTAGGTAAGTAGTGTTGAAAGTACATTTTTTGTTTTTCTTTCCTCTCTCAGTTTCCCAATGGTCTCATTCTTAAATTCAAATGTATTTAATAATTGTTAATGAAATAAATTTTATAAGGGCTGTAAAGTTGGTGTATGTAAGCAACCAAATACTGCATAAATAAAATAGAAGAGAACAAGTCATAGAAGAAAGTAGCTCTTTCTACCTACATCCTTTAGCCCCCTATACTCTATGTCATAGGAAGTTGCTTGGGGGTTGCAGTCACAGTAAAAAATAAAAAAATATTATTTCATTTTTTCTCTGTGACTGCTAATTCCAAACCATACAATTTACTGTCAGCTATTTTTCCACCATTATTTATTGTAATATATTAAACAAAAGAAAGTCTCTGGATCAACGGACCAGTTGTAATGGAAATATAGTTAACCTGGCCAATGTCAAGAACTGCTAAATAAAAAAACTTTTAAATTTTAAAACTGAAAAGCACCGGGTTAAAAAACTATTATTTTTGCCTATTGATTTAAATGATCTACTATTAGTGCTAATAATCAAAAGAACAGTCATTCATGTACACTCGCATGCTGGTATACTCACACCCTTTGAAGTTATTGTTTTAATTAATATAATGGATATTGTGTAATAAACCTGTTTAAGATAATGCCCATTACTATTATCATATTAACTTTTTTGCCCTTTCATTCTATATTGGGGATGTTTTATCTATAAAACAATATATGATTAGGTAATTCAATGCTTTTCTTATACATAACACAATGATATCAAAATAAAGTTGCTGGATATCTTCACTTTTCTGACACAAATAGTGGAAAATTATGAAAACTATACAATTTCTTCATCAGGATCAACAAAATTATCCATGATGATCTCCCCTCTATGATGATCTCCCCTGTTGGTTGCAAGTCAGCAATTACCATTACAAAATTTTAAAGTGTGCTTCAAATAATAATAATAATAATGCTTTATTTATTCTGGGATGAGTCCCTTTAGAATAATACAGAGAAACAAAAATGTGGGCTAAGTAGCCTCAGAGATACATAAACAAGAGTATAGTTTGATTAAATAGTAAAAAAAAAAATAAAAAAAAAAAAAAAATATTTAGAGAAATTATAAGTTATTTTCTAATTTACATCAGTTAATAATAAAAATAAAAAATTGAAAATAAACATGAAGTAAAAATAATAAAGAACGATCTAATAATTTATATACATATTTATAGTAGTAACTATTTACAATTTTATGATGAGGACTGGATGGATAAGAAATGATTAAACAGTTGGGATTTAAAGGTAAGAAGGGTTTTGGATTGACGGATGTGGGGAGGGATGGAGTTCCATAGGGAATCAAATAATATATAATAATAATATAATAGAGGATCAAATAATAAAAGATTTATCGAAAGCAGCGGTTCGGTGGGCCATTATATATAAATCTGAAGACTGGGAACGGGTATTGCGGGAGAGGACAAAGGATTTAAATTGAAGGAGCTCGGCAATGTATGAAGGATGGCGGGAGTGAATTACTTGGAAGAGGAAGGATGCCAGGAAATACTTACGGCAGTAGGAAGTATAAAGCCACTTCAACTCTTCATAAAAACAGGGGCGTCTCTTGGGATCCCGAAGATGAATCGTACGAAGCAATTTATCAAACGTTTTAGTTTCTCCTCGAGATCCCCAGAGACGCCCCCATATACCGTGCAGCAATAGTCGAAATGGGGAAATATTAAAGAGGTGACCAGGAGTCTACGGATTTCAAAAGGAAAAAGGTGTCGCAGGCTATTTAAATGTTTTAGGATGGAAAAGGTACGTCAGGAGATATTGGGCACATGGTTTTTCCAGGTAAGGGTTTGATCGAAGATTATTCCAAGGTTTTTGATGGTGGGATAAAATTTGATGGGATTATTTTGTAGGAACAGGGTTGGAATGTTAGGAACAGTTTTGAGGTGATAGGAGCCTATTAGGATTGCCTTGGTCTTTTCCACATTCAACTTCAGCTTGTTAACTCCTGCCCAGTCATATATTCTATTTAAGTCTTCTTGGAGCTTTTTTTTGACGGCTAATGGGTCAGAAGGGGTGGTTATAGGATAGGTGTATTTGGAAATCGTCAGCATAGATGTGGTATTGGGTGTGATGGATCAGGAGGGGAAGGTCATTAATGTAAATAACAAACAGAGTAGGAGATAAGGAGGAACCCTGAGGGACACCACAGGAGAGGGGAAGTGTCTTTGAAGGAGGTTGATCTGGGACGACTACATGCTGGGATCGATCGGAAAGGAAGAATTTGAACCAACGTAGGACACTGTTGAATAGAGGAAGATTTTGCAATTTGGTAAGAAGGATGTTATGGTCAACTGTATCAAATGCTTTGGAAAAATCTAGAAGGATGAGGATAGTAAGGTTTTGGTGTTCAATGGAGTTTTGGAGGTCATGGGTTATTTTAAGGAGAGCAGATTGCGTTGAATAGCCGGGTCGGAAGCCAGATTGGAATGGATTGATGAAGGAACGTTCTTCTAGGAAGTTGGAAAGTTGATTTTGGACAAGAAGTTCCAGTGGTTTTGAGAGGTTTGAAAGAAGAGAAATAGGGCGGAAGTCGTTCTGTGAGGAAGGGTTAGATGTTTTACTCAATGGTCGGACGAGTGCAGTTTTCCAGGAAGAGGGAAATGTGGAATTTTGCAATGAGAAGTTGTAGATATGATAAAGTATTGGAATAAGGGCAGAAAGGCTGGATTTTATTAGTTTTACTGGAATATTGTCAGGACCATAATCATTGGTGTGGGATTTGAGTATAGTGGAAAGTACTTCGTCGTAGGATACATGGGAAAAAAAGAAGTTTTCAGGAATGAAATTATGGTGTTCAATATCATGAGTAGGAGAAGGATTAGAAGCAAAAGATAAAAAATGGTCATTAAGATCATCTGGAGTCACAGGGAGGGAAATGAGGTTATTGGAATCTGGTAGGGATAGATTACGAAGTATTTTCCATTTTGATTTGGAATCAGGAGCATTGGTAAGGGCATTATGAAAGTAGTTGGATTTAGCAAGTGGATTGGGTTGCATTACGGAGTTGTTTGAAAGATGCATAATCAGCAGGTTAGCGGGTTTGACGGTATTTGCGCCTTGCTGCATTCCTTCTCTTTATCATTCCCTTTATTTCAGGAGTCAGCCAAGGAGCAGTGGGACGACGTAAGATTCTGGTTTTCAGAGGAGCATGTCTAATATGGATTGTAGGTTTGAGGTAAGGGTGGATATCATAGGGTCAATGGAGGTGTAGGAAAATATGGTATCCCATTGGGCAGAATCCAGGTCAGGTTGAAGGGATTCATATGAAAGGAGGTTTAGATTGCGATATGATACTATTTTGGGAGTAAATGATTTCACGGGTAGGTCGTACGAGATTTGGATCACGTCGTGTGATGATAGAAAAGGTACAGGGTGTTGAGAGGAGGAAAGGATTTTAAGCGGTGAGTCAGAGATATGGAGGTCTAACCAGGTGTCAGAGAACTGAGTGTGATGAGTGGAAGAATAAGGGACAAGATAAAGATTGAGAGAAAATATTAGGTCATTGAGGTAGTATTTGTCGGGTGATTCTGTGAGCATATTTACATTAAAATCGCCGGAGATGATGATATTGGAGTAGGAGGAAACCAGGTTGACAAGGGAGGATTCAAAGAGTTGGTCGTAATAGAACACGAGGAGGGCGGTAGACAACAACATACAATAGAGGAGAGGAAATAGCGGTAATTTCAACAAATAAATATTCAACGTGAGGGAGGTCATGAAAAGGAGACTGTAAGAGGATTTTGGCCTTGAGACTATTATGTATATATAGTCCGGAACCACCTCCCGTGCGATCAGGTCTGTCATGACGTAGGAAAGAGTAATTGGGGAGGGAAATTTGGGAGGAAGGAATAAAAGGTTTCAGCCAGGTTTCAGATACTGCTATTGTGTAGTAAAAATTATCGAGGAAATATTTTTGGAATTCATCAAAGTGGGCATTAAGGGATTGTGCATTGACGTGACAGGAATTTAGGATATTAGTCATAACTGAGATGTTGGGAAGGAGAGTTGCGGGGAAAAGGATCGAGGAAGGAGAGTAGGATATAACAGTTTTTTAACAAAATATTCATTTTTGCAACAGAAAAGAAAATATAAGCATAAAATAAACTTTGAAAAGAAAGAGTTTTTTTTTTTTTTTTTTTTAATGTTGGCTTTAGGCACGTCGACCCCTTTGGGTCCATTGTGCGCCAGTATTCGCTAGGTCGTCTTATTCAAAACGTTAGTCCTGTCGCTTCCGCGTATCTAAGTAGGCTGGTTGGGTTAACCGACTCAAATCTACTGGGGAGATCCATCTGTTCCTCCCCAAATAACGCCAGTCTCAGCCTTGTAAACTTGTCACATTTGCATATGATGTGAAAAGCTGTTTCATTCTCCTCCTGACAGAATCTGCATAGCGGATTCGTCATTACTCGGAGATTGAACATATGATTATTTAACTTACAGTGACCTGTGTAGATCGCTGTGAGTTTTTTAAGAGCTGCTCTGTCCATGTTCAGTAGCTGTTCACTTCTTTTTTTACATGGGCCTTTAAGGAACAGCTTCGAGTGTCTCTGTTTCTTGTCGGTCCAGTAATTCCTAAATTTGTTCCCATAGATCTCCCTGATCCTGCCCTTGGCAGTACTAAGGCTGATTCCACAGACAGGCTCGGGAGTTATAGGAATAGTATCTGAGTCCAACCTGGCTTGCTCATCAGCCATCTCGTTGCTGGGTATGCCAGAATGGCCTGGCATCCACTCCACTGCAACTCTGTTGTGCTCAGTTAGCTCGTTAAGTACTCTATTGCATTCCTTAACGACCTTTGAATAGGCATAATAATTGTCAAGAGCACCTATTGCTGCCTGACTGTCAGTAAAGATGGTGATCTTTTTCTCAGTCACATTCGTTTGCAGTAGGTTTTGTACACAGTGGCAGATTGCCAGTATCTCGGATTGAAACACTGAAGCATACCTGCCAAGTGGTATAGAAATTTTTTCTTTTATATCTTTGCGATAGATGCCTGCTCCAGAGCCGAAGGCTGTTAGAGAGCCATCTGTGTAGCAATTTATTCCACTATTTGGTTTATGACTTCTGCTGCTATCTATCTCAACCTTATATTTTCGGTCCTGATATTCTCGGATTAGAGTGTCAGAGTGCATAGCTAGCACTCTTTCACTTCCAATCCTGTTCAGCAGTGTTGTGTGTCCTCCCTGACAGGGGACTGTTGAACAGTAAGTTGACTTGCTTATCCTGTACAGTGTAATTGTTGCCCGAGCCTCCACCTCCAGCTGCAGCGGAGGCATGCCGAGCATCACCTCCATAGCAGCCGTCGGTGTCGTGCTCATTGCGCCTGTTATCATTATACAAGCAAGCCTTTGAATCTTTCCTAATAAGGATAAGTTGGCTACAGTCTTTGCTTTGTGCCACCATAGCAAAGCTGAGTAAAGTATGATAGGTCTGACTGTTGTTGTGTACAGCCAGTATACCATTTTTGGTTTTAGCCCCCAATTCTTTCCTATCGCTCTTTTACAGGCCCATAGGCATTTGAGGGCTTTACTTGTCACGTTTTGAACGTGTTTAGTCCATGTCAGTTTATGGTCCAAAGTGACTCCAAGGTGTTTTACTTCCTTACTCAGTGTCACTTGGATACCATTGATTTCCGGCATTTTAATAGCCACCTTCTTCTTCTGGGTGAAGATACACACATTGATTTTCCTAGGGTTGATGCTTAGTCCTTTAATCCTGCACCAATTCCTAAGAATATTGAACACTGTACTGAGGATATCAGAGAGGACACTCTGATGCCTCCCTCCTATGAGGATGGCAATATCGTCAGCATATCCCTGAGCATAAATGCCTGCAGTGTTTAAGGCTTCCAATAATGAGTCAGCCACAAAACACCACAGTAGTGGAGAGAGCACACCTCCCTGAGGACATCCCCCACAGGGTTTAATCCACAGTTCCTTGTGCCCTATTTCTGATTTTAGAACTCTGTCCTCCAGCATTCTCCCAATCCATCTGGAGGTCATAGCGTCTATATCTTTTTTCCTTAGCGCATCATTTATGATGTTATAGGGAGTTCTATCAAAGGCACCCTCGATATCAACGAAGACGCCTATCATGATTTCACTCTGTTCTAAGGATTTCTCAATTCTTGTTACCAAGTTGTGAAGCGCCACCTCACAGAATTTTCCTGGTTGGTAGGCATATTGCTTTGAATGTATTGGACTAGTAGCCAATATGTGTTCCCTAATATGTCTGTCCAGTATCTTTTCCAATGTCTTCATTAAGAAAGATGACAGACATATTGGCCTAAATGCCTTGGGGTCTTCATAAGATTCCTTTCCTGGTTTAGGAATGTATCGCACTTTGGATATCCTCCACTTACATGGTAGATATCCCAGTGCTAGGCTACCTCTTAGAAGTTCCAGAAGGTATGGCCTTATTTCTGGGAGACCCTTCTGCAGCAGTGCTGGAAAGATCTCGTCCATTCCAGCAGATTTGAAAGGAGAGAACGAATTCACTGCCCATTCAAGTCTACTGTTTGTTATCACTCTTCTTGCCTGACCCCACATACGTGCGCCAGTACCACGATCCTGTGTATTGGGGTCAAGAAGTTCATTTACTGTCGTAAAACAATTTGGGAAATGAGCTTTTGCTACCACACTCAATGTTTCTATCTCATTCGTGGTGTGCTTATCATCATATTTGAGTGTTCCCATTATACCTGAATTGGTTTGTTTTGACAGTATTTTGTTTACCTTACATACCGCCGGCATGTTGTCCACCTCCAGACAAAACCTTTTCCAGGCTTGTCTTTTGGCTCTCCTGACAGATTTGTGATACTCAGTAAGAGATTTCCTATATGTATTCCAATTGCCAGATTTTTTAGAAGCATTGAACAATCTCCTCATGAGTGCTCTTTGCTTTGTTAGACTATCATTCCACCAGGACACTTTCCTGTTGGTTGTAGTTTTTTTGGCTTCATTACTGGCCAAATATGCTCTAGTCATAGCATCAGTAATTGAAGTATTTAATATCTCTAATTGCCATGTATTGTGGATAACTTTGGGGCAGCATTTGACAGCCTCCTCCAAGTTAGAACTATAGGACACCCAGTAAAAATATTCATTTTTGCAACAGAAAAGAAAATATAAGCATAAAATAAACTTTAAAAAGAAAGAGTTAAAATCATATAAACTCGAATAGAAATAAATATAAAAAATTAATTTATGATGTGAACAAATATAAAGTTGGCTTTGGTTATAATAAATTATAAAGAAAAAACATTCCGTCAAATGAAATTCCAGCTCTTTAAAACGATAATAAAGAAGGTAACTTACAAAAATTAAAATAAAAATATTTTTGATAGAAAAAACTAAAATTGATACAAATTTTGGGAGACTTACATACAAAATTCATATAAAGACGTCCAAGTCGCTAGCTTTCCCTATAACTACCGCCGGATATCCATCTGACTGTCTGCATCGAATTTTGCCACCACTGAACCACAGGTATTTTATCTTTGCCGTCATCTTTTTTTGTCTGGCTAACCAGTATAGATGTTTATTGGCGGGGGTCATTGCTTCGCTCATGTAAACCCGGTGCGAATCGTTGTCCCCCCAGCCCAGATGGCGTGTAGAGAAGTCTCTTTTCGTTCTTCTCTGCTGCACCAGTTCATCTCTTGTTGTTTGCCTGACGAAGCGAGCAATGATAGCGCCTGGAGTCCCTTCCTGCTTCGGTTTGAGCCTCACTGCGTGATCCAGATCGTCTGGACTTAACTTGATGCCCAGACCCGCTCTGACGCTAAGAATGGTCCCAGTCACAGTCTCACCCGGCTTTTCTGGAATTCCTCGGATTTCGACTGTATTTTTTAACTGATATTGCTCAGTATAATTTAATCGGATTTCCAGCTCCGATATTTTTTTCTTTAAGGTGGTGTTTTCGATAGACAATTTTTTGACATGTTTTTTCTGTTCTTCCAGCAGGGTTTCTATCTTTAACAGCTTTTCCATATTTTCAAAAGACAGTTCCGACTGTTTGTTGAGGCAGTCTTTTATTTCCTTTAACTCGTCGATGCCCTGAAGCTTGGTCTTCATCTGCTTAACTTCCTCGGTCAGGGCCTTCAATAGGTCAATCATTGTAGGCTCAGAAGCGCAATCGGGGCATATCCTAAAATAATGCATCATTATTTAACTAGTATGGTTGTATATATATATATATATATATATATATATATATATACACACACGTATGTATTAGTTTATATATTCCTTCCAAATAATTACTCTTTAAACAGAACTATTGTAAATTTACTATTTTAACTCTTACTATTTTAATAATTTAATACTATTTTAACTCTTAAGTAGCCATTTAATTATTTTCTTTTTTCATTTTGTGTTAAAGGATACCAGTAGGATGACCGATGAAGATCGTCTTATATCTGTTCTATTAGCTTGGTTTCTCATTAGGTGTCTTGATTTTGCTTTATCAGAAGTTCAAGGAAGTAATGAGCAATGGCCAAGGTTTCTCAATTTACTGGCTTACTCTTTTTATTTGCCATGTTTTTTCTTTGGTCCTTTTATACCATATGACCACTTCAAATTGCAGGTATGTGGTACTTTTATATTTTTTATAAATCAATGAAAATGTGTTAGTTGACATAAATGAGATACAAAATATATACTTGATAGTACATTTTAGAATACGTAGATAATGGAAAATTCCTTCTGTCAAGGTATATGAGTTATTCCCACAAAAGATATTTCATATTATGTCCTAAATTCTTTAACTAAGAAATACAATTTTTACTAATTACATTCTTCAATTTTTTTTTCACAATCTCAATTCTTTAAATAAAGTCTTTATAATTCATCTTTTAACTTACATGCTATAATAAATGATATAACAACAACAAATAAATATATATAAAAAATAAACTAGATGTTGCACTAATTGCTTATATACTGACTAGTTGGGCTTTTTGAAATATGGCTTGCTTTATATAATTACTTAAGGATTTCCAGTTAGTACCTTAAACTAAACTAAGTATTTCTTCAGGATAACAGGTTTGTCAACCAAAACACTTTTCCCTGATCTCGCTATAAATATGGCAAGCTCCTTAGAAGTGAATGGTGTCCTCTTTTTCTCCGGTGTTATGTGCCGGGTAGTTATTTTTTCTCTCATGCATCCATGCAGAGATGGACAAAAGCTACTCTGAGTACCGAGTACCAAGTGTTTAATTCAAATTGAATCACTATTGGGAATTTAATCACTGCTTCAGTTGATCATTTGATATCAAATGAAGTAATAATTAAATTCTTTGGTACTCAGTACTCAGAGTAGCATTTTTCTATCTCTGCATCCAGGGCTTAATGCTTAAATTGAGCAATTCCATCATACACTGGAATATGGACCACATCAATGCACAATCATAGATAATAAAAAAACTCTTATTTATTTGCTTCTGTTGATAGGATATGGGGCAAATGGAAATCTGCATGACTAATCTCTAGAACTTTCAAAATATAATTAAAATGTAATGTAAGCATATATAGAGCTAATTCCTGTTTCATAACTAGAAATATAATTAGGTGCTAGTTAATCTCAGAACATTTGTTTGGGAAAGAACATTTTTTTTTTATAAAATATCTTTTGAATTTTTTAAAAATATTCTTATTGCTTGAAACCCTCGTTAAGCAGTTAGGTAAACTTGCCCAGCATAACTAATAACTGCCCATGAAACTGGCTTATAAACTTCTAATTTACATGAGTAAGAAACATTATTGTTATTGATGAAATTATGCCAAGTAAAATTCAGATTAACTTTGACAGATTGACTTTGTGTGGCACATATGGAAGTAATTTTCGAGGTTTTTTATCATTCATTGTAATTTTACTGCGTAGGAGGCTGGTAATACCATATTGCCCTCATACAGTAAGCATCTAATATTAATCCCTGTGATACCTAGCCCTTAGCACACTGTCATATTTTGTTACAATATGTGATATTTTATGAATTCCATTAATCTTTGGTGGTTATCAAGTTCATTAAGTCAACAGTACTTTAATAAAAAAAAGAAAATATTTTTTTTGACATCCAGAGTTTATTGTGAATATATAACTATTTAAAATGCTATGAAATTGTTCATCAAAACAGCTTCATAAAAACTATTAATAAACTATGTATAATATAGTATATAACTAGCACAGTATAGTATGTGTGTGTGTGTGTGTGTGTGTGTGTGTGGTGTATAACTATATAACTGTATTATACATTGTATAATATAAATTTCTATCTATTTTATGAAATTTTGTTACCTTCATTAACAAATAAAAATGATATTAATGCTGTTCTAAACAAAAATAAAAGATAAGATTCCAGAAATTTAAAATATTTCAGTATCTCTTAACTCTTCATTGAGTACAATATAGAACCAATGGAGTTAAAGCACAATGTGTCTGACTAGCACACTTTAAAAAAAATTCTAATGCTATTCAAAATTTAAATCTTGCATTGAATCAACTTAAATTTACAGGGTAGCGTATTGTAATAACATATTAAAGGGTTAATTGTGAATAACCGTTTCGGCGGGAATTGTAAATATTCCTTCCGCTTCGTCGGGGAACTAACATTGTAAGTAACATGTTTAAGGTTAACTGTCAATGACCTTTGTTTGGTGAGAAATTTTAAATAACATATTTATGACACTGAGTGAGAAGAAATAACAAGAATATATATATATGAAATATGTGACTGAGAAAACACACCCTGAATGAATCGACCCACCTGGTTTGCCACTCCTTAACCTTGAGGCCTACAGGACAACTAAATAAAAGGACTATTCACTCCTGTATAATAAAATAATTTATTTCCACTACTGTAATAAATTGAATGTATTAAAGTGTTATAACTATAGGCTTGATATTCTTAATCTTCAGTGTAGTAGACTTCTCTTCTCAGGTAACCTCCTTACTTCATGCCCCAGCCTCAAGTGAGTTCTCCTTTCTTCTCGGCGTTCTTCTCCAGCTGCTGCTACCTGCTCCGTCCTTTTTTAAGCTTCTTCCTTCTTTGATTCTTTATCGATATGAGACTTTTCAATGAACAATTTGTCCACTGCACAATTGAGTAGAATTCATAGTGCAATCTCACATTCCTATATATTCCTTCTCATTCCCTCATATAAAGGAGTAAATACTGGGGGCTATCTACTACAAAATTAATCAATATAGATAATCATACGATTGACTGCTTTGTGTCATTTATTAAATTCATGACTTACCATCCTTTTGAAACCTGTTTTCCAGGTACAAGTTTTATTTACATCTCTTGCGAGCTTGAGAAGTTGAGTTTTCTGGCAAATTTTTCATAGACTGATATTTGTTTCAACCACATTTGGAGATTTATGGGGATTCCTACTGTTTTCACAATTCTTCAGCTTAGTTCTCTAAACACCAGTTGGTGAGCCAATGTTTGATTGAGCCATGAAATAAGAAAAATTAACACCTTCTTTATTTATTATTAAATAAAATAAAAATTAACAGTTGTGGTATAAAATATAGATATTAAGAACAATATAAAATATGTCACGAGTTCGGGAAAAGTGTGCTTGAGAAATCAGAATAATGCTTACAGCTTCTGACAAAGCAGATGAATGAACTTTACTAGGTTAGTTTCATAAATCCGACCAAAACAGGAAATAATAAATAAAACGGCTAATAAAAACGGCTGACTTAAAATACTCCTACAAGAGAAACAAAAACATCTGAGCTGTGCATATTAGGCCCAACAGAGGGTTAATCAGCTTTAACATGTTGTTGAGGTTCTTACAATGCTGCAATTCAGAATGCAATTGTATAATTACATTTTTTTATATTTATAAAATTCATTATTTTTACAGAACCATACACTTTTCTATGGGTCTATCTTCTTACCCATACTTTGATTCGTGTTTCTGGATGGAAAATATTTTTTTTCTACCCAAGTCTTTATCTCACTGCCAAAAACCAGCATAGCACTGGATGCAGAAGTGTCTTTTATACAGTTAGTTATAAAAAAAAAAAGAAAAATCATGTTTTAAAAGTCAAATAAATACTTACTTACTTACTTGATCCAGTCCTCTTTGTTACGCCTGAGCAGTGTGAGGTTCCTTCTTATAGAGCTTGATCCAAGAATCTCTATCCTGGGCCAGCTGTCTTCGCCTACTTCAGTCCATTCCACCCCTGTCAAAGGCTTCTTTAATTCCTTCTTCCCATGTTTTTCTTGGTCTTCCCTGTAACCACCTTCCCTCCACTTTGACCTCGTAGGTAGCCCTGGCAACTCTGTTTTCAGCTATTCGCGAGACATGTCCAAACCATGTTGGTTTTCTTGGATTATTTCCTCTCAGGTCCAGATTAGCTCGTACGGTCACATTCTAAAGCGATCTCTTCTTGTTTTACCCTCTATTTTCCTTAAATATCATATTTCCAGAGCTTGGATTTGGCTTTTATGCTTGGAAGTGAGGGTCCAAGACTCGTTTGCATATGTTAATATAGGGAGGAAGGTATTCTTGAAGACAATCTTCTTAGTGGCCTTTGAGACTTCCTTTTTGTCCAAGAAGCCTGACTTGAGAGAGTAGAAGCATTTTCCTGCCGTCTTAATTCTCTCTTTTATGTTTCCATCAACTCATCCGAACTCGTTGAGGTGAGGACTCAGGTATTTAAAATCCATTATTTGCTCCAGACGGATTCCACCCAGCCGAACAATCCTGTCTCCTCGGTCACTTCTTCTCCCAATCCTCATAAATTTTGTTTTGGAGATATTAATTTCCATGTTTATATTCCTCATCTCAGCTTGAAGAATCTTGAGGTTAAACTGCAGATTATGGCAGTCATTTCCGAACACCAGCATATCGTCAGCAAAAGCAAGCACTGTATACTGGGCGCTGTAGGTTCCTAGGTTCCTATATCCGAGGTTGTATGGCCTCATTTTCTGTTTTGCTTGTTTTAGGGCAGAGTCCAGCACTAGGATAAACAAGGGGGGGGGGCTAAGGCTGCATACCTGTTTGATTCCTTGATCTGTTGAGAATTCTTTTAGTGTATGGTTGCACATCCTGACAACATTTTTCTGTGTTTCATATAGACTTAGGATGGCTTTTCTCAATCCTATATGAACACCACACTCCTCCAATGCTCTTGATACGTCTGCCTCCTGCACCCTGTCAAATGCTTTATTTAGGTCTACAAAACAGGTGATGACCTCTCTGCTCTTCTCTATAATCTTCTCGGATATTTGTCTCATCATGAATATCAGGTCCTGTATACTTCTGATAGGCCGTAAGCCATATTGTTCTTCCCCTATCTTTTGTTCTATGAGGCTTCTCAGCCGCTTTTCGAGCACATCAATAAACTTTGTAGGGATATGCCTCGATGGTTCCGACATCCACAATTATCTCCTTTTTTGAAAATTGGGATTATGATGGAGACTTCACAGTCCTTTGGGATAACTTTATTTTTCCAAACTACGTTAAGGAGGTGCTGGAACAGTTTGATTCCTTTTAAACCCATATATTTCAACATTTCTGGCACAATGCCGTCTATACCAGCCGCTTTTTCCAGCTTTAATGAGCTTATAGCCTCGGCAACTTCTTCTTCTCCGATGAAATCTTCTTCCCAAGTGTCTTCTTTGCTGCCAGACTGTTGTTTCGCTTCCATTTCCTGCCCTTCATATGCAAGTAATTCCTTAAAATACTCCGCCCATCTATTCATAATGTTTTCTGGCCTACTCAGAATGTCTCTATTTTTGTCCTTGATGTGCTTCAACAAGTTGCACTGGATGCAGAAGTGTCTTTTATACAGTTAGTTATGAAAATAAAGAAAAATCATGTTTTAAAAGTCAAATAAATCTAAAAAGAATATTATTATAAGTTTGATATATAGATATTTTTGATAAATGAAAAATTGAGATATTGAGGTTCAACTTAAATGTGCATTCATTACATTCTAATTTTTATCTTACTGATTATATAATATATGACTTTCCAATTTTAAGTGTTGGACACAGATTTTTTAATCCATCGTATCTAATATGATGATCTTTCCTTTAAAAAAAAAAAAAAAATTAAATGTTAGGCTTATTTCATAATACTGGATTTGTCTAATCTGCATCATAAAATTGGATCTGTTTACATTTTATATTAGTTACTCTCAATTACCTAAGAAATGAGACAATTTATCCTAAATTTGATGGAAGGGTTACCTTCTTGTGGTATCCCACCAAATTTTCCCTACTTTAGTGTGTAGATTGTGAACTACCACTATTGATCTGAATCTTTACACTATTTCAGATCGGTAGTGGGAAAGTTAAAAATCTAACTGGTCAATAAAGTCATCAGTCATCAGTCAGTGCGAAACATTTAGAAAATTAATGTTTTTCTTCGCTAAAGACTAAGTTTACAATTATATGCTTTACTGTTGCTGTCTTAAATGTTTTGAACAGATAGCTGAGAATTCCTAATCGCTTCTTGTATTCAATCATTGCATAATATTTTATATTTGTGAAGAAGATAATAATTATTGTCTCTTCATTTTTTTGTTTCAGGTGTATAAAACTCAACAGCCCAGTTATAAAACGAGATGTTTGTACCTGTTTAGTTCACTTGTGAAATATTATCTTTATTATTTATTGTTTGAATTTTTGTCTCATTTACTGTACTGCAATGCGATGCATCTTGTTATTGAAGTGAATATCTTTTTTTTTTTTAATATATGTTATCTTACCTTAATATATTTTAATTCTTGGTAATAGAATGGCTTACTATTCATTAAATATTGTGTAGCTGAAGTATCTACTATTGTATCGAAGAACTGAATGATTCCTTTAGTTTATTCCTGATTCTATGTCCTTCCTTAGATTCTATAGTTTTAAATGGGGGACTGTTGGAGAGAATATGGGGATAGTCTGTGGTTGTCATAAGAAAAGAACTGATAAAATCACTAGGACCTATGGAAAGGTAACAAAATGAAGGCTGGTTATTTAAGAAATATGGGTCTCTCAGAGAGGAACAGATTAATCTTATGTTATGCCAAGGTTTTTAACAATTAAACAGGTTATAATGATCTTGGTCTTTAGTAAATTATTGATGAAACAGAAAAAACTTGGGTTAAACTCTATGGTCTTTGACTTATAAGTATATAGGCTTAGCTTACTTTGAATATTTTATAAATTAATATCTTTTATTGTTAAGTTTAAGCTTTCTTGAATTTTTATTGGATAACATACAATAAGCTGCAGCTGATTGTAAGAAAAGCCAAGGCCATTGGTGTTGGTTTTAACACCTTAATTCTCATTGATGCTCTATCTCAATATTCTCCCCATTCACCTCAATGCTCTACCTGAATATTCTACCCATTCACCTTTGCAATTCATTAAAAAAATATAGAATCTTATTTCTTAGATCACTTAAAAATCCATTGCTATTCTCCAGTAGTTTATAAGTAGAGACCGGATCTTCGTGCAGTAAAATTCCAAAAAGCGTACAGAAAAAAACTCAAAATGTGCAAAATCGTGCAGTAAAAACCTAAAATATGTAAAATTGTCTGATTTACACCTAAAAACGTGCAAAAATCATCTATTTAATTTAATTTATAATATTAATACATCAAAATCCTATCACACTTTATGTTAAGCTTCTGAATTAAAATATTGTGTCACAAAAAAACATTAAAATGCAACATTGAAAATTAAAATCCATATTATAATTAACTACCGACAATAATACGTAATCTATTACAATAATAAATTATAATTAACTTAAATCTTGAAGAAAGACATATTTAAAAAAAAAATAAGGACTAACATAAATAATAGAAAAGTTAAAGATTATTCACAAAACAAATACAAAAAGGTTTCAATAATTAACCAAAAAATAATTAAAGAAATTTGTTTAAATGTCCCTTAAATTGGTTAATTGACTGGCACATACAAAGAATGAAGTAATGTAGAGGAACTTAAAAAGATTAAAGATATGAAGGATAATATATATATTATATATACCAGACCAATTGATTTCAGATATTTAATTTTAATTAAAAATAATATATGTACATACATAATTATAAATTGTCCACATTATAACAAAAACTTTATTTTTTAATCGATTTGAAATTTACATACAATGTTATACATTTCGAGATCTGTTTCTGAATAATTGTTTCTCCTATCACTTAATACATCTTTTAATTGAAATTTAATTAATTGAAGAGTGTTCAACATGAACTGATGTAAGGAGATTCATTTTGTAACAAGCAACCACTGCTGTTTCTTTGCCAACATTAACATTTATACTGTTAATGCAGTCATATTTTTTTATGTGAGCGCAACCTGTATTTTTTTCTATTACGGAGTAAAATTTTTGAGATATAATTTTTCTTTTTTCAAGATTTTCTCCTATGGTGTCTTTAATTTCAATTCGTTTATAAATTGACAAATTTAGAGATTCTAGCTGAGTTAATGTTTGCAGAAAATTTGACAAATGTGATTTTATGATTGTCGATTCAATATTATTGAAATGTTATACATTTCGAAATTTGTTTCTGAAACATTTTTTCTCCTATCATTTAATAGGTCTTTTAATTGAGAAAAATAGTGTTTAACATGAAGTGATGTTAGGAGAAAATGTGACAAATGTGATTTTATGTGTCAATTCAATATTATTGATGCCGTATTCTTGATAGTCTACGATTCACTTCAAAGCCGGAAGGGATTCTTAAGGACCAAAGGAAAAGTGAGAATTCAAGTCAAAAAAAGGAAGGTAGTTTTTTTATTGAATTACTTCAGGCAAGTTCTATTCCACGAATATTTTGTCTGCTCTTGTGTTCACTTCGTCCTTTTGTAAAGTTTAATTCGAATTTTTGTCAGTCACAGAATCATTTACCTTCCTCATATTTTTCTTTCTTATATTATTAATTGAATATGGACAAGATAGTAAAATAAAAAAATAAATATTTACATTCACATATATATTTACATTTATAAATCATTTAATCTAGCACAAAATGTACAAAAATCAAAATCGTGCAATTTAAGCTGAAAACGGAAAAATTTGCAATTTCACACAATATAAAATTTAAATATTTTGTTCTACAGATCATGAAACGGATAGATATTCTTGGGTTTTAACACGCAAGCGAATAAATGTGCAATAACACGGAAATCCGGTCTTTATTTATAAGATTCCATGCCTCTGAACCCGGTGTTTTCTAATATCTAGCCTTATTATTACTGTAGTTGCATAGTGTTTAGTGAGAGGGCTTGCAATGAAAATCAACAGACTTCTGAATTTTTTTTTTTTATTAATCTTCTGATTTCTCAATCATTTTCCCTGCCTCTTGTTGGTATACCAAGTTAACCTGGTTTTATCCAGTTTTCCAACAGTGATACTTGCGTGGCAAGTATTATATCATTCTGATAGGATGCTTTGTTTAAACACAACTTATTTTATCTCATTAATTATTAATCTACTGTAGCTACATAAATGATATTTATGTTTTAACAATAACGATGTTAAACACTATAATTTTTTGCTAATTTCAATTATATTTAATTTTCTTCTATTCAAATGAAATGTTCGTGGACAAATGAAAATCTATTTTGTGCAGTTTTGTTATTGTTAGGTTACATGTTCATCCCCAAATGAATCATTTTTTAATTAATTATATAAAAAATTAAATAAAACAAATTAAAAAAAAAAAGAAAGAAAACTCTGAATTGAATTCATCTTTTAAATAATTTATACAGTCATTAATTTGTATTATTTATTCTGTTAGTTGTATCTCCCACAACCTATCCACAAGTTCCTCGTTTCCAAATTGATTTTCCCCTACTTTGACTATGGCTGTGTTGTATACGGTGGCCTCTAGTTGGTGCTTGAGGACAAACTGAAGATAATCATGAAATGATTTTTAAGATTTGTCTTCGGCACTTCGGGATGGTCGCATGTGCCGAGTTAAAGTGGCTCTTCCCCACTTTCTACTACCTATACTTCCTTGGAAATTTCTTATACCAAACATTCATCTCCTAGCACCCTTCCTATATCTACTGTCTCCTCCAGCCTAAACCTTTAGTCCACTCAATAAATACGAGATCTTGTGTTTCTGACCTCTATATCCCATTCCATAGGACAAAAACCTAACGTTCCTTCTTAGCCTGCTCCGTTGCCTTCTGGAATTCCTTGCCACATAACATCCGTCATGCCTCTACCCTGTCAACTTTCAAATACCTCCTTTTCCAATATCTCCTTTCATCCCAAAAGACGATTCGCAACCATAAATTTCATTTTATGAATTGAATTTGTGAGAAGTAAATGGTGGTACCTACTGTTTAAGTTTTAACATAAAACATCAATGATCTTTGTCACCTAATTTGACTATTATTTTTACTATTTATTTGTTTTTCTCTTCACTTCAGGTCGTGCTTTTTCTTTCGGGTACATATGTTTATATTTTATACTTTTTTTCTCCTTGTTTACGAATATGAGTATGTATATATAGTTCTTTTTTTTTTTCATTACACCACAAGTAATCCTGAGATTTTATTTTTATTTATTTTAGTGTTTGCATATTATTATGTAAACCACTGTAGATATTATTAAATTTTTTGTTAAGTTATTTTTCTATTAGATAGCCTATTATTTATAAATGTTGTAGTTATGTATATATGAATATGTAATTTCTTTTCTTTTTTTTTTCATCACAATAATAAGTTATTTTGAGAAGATTTTATGTTCATTTATTTTTTTTTTTTTGTTTATTTTTAATGATTACATACTATTTTTTAAATAATGTATATAATGTTAGCATTTTTATAAGTTAGTTTTTGGCCAGATTTGTATTAATTCATCATTGTTATTCTAAGAAGACTTAGCCCCAGAATAAAGTTCAATTTTCTATTCTATTCTATCCATTAAAATACAGTTGTTTTCAAAATTTCAGAATTTGATGTCTAATGGGATGTGGACACTGAGTGGCATCGGATTATGCATGGCTAACTTTTTTTACTTAAAGTATATTGTTGTGTATGGTTTCTCTACAAGTATTGCAATTTATGAGAATTTTACAACTCCTGATCTCCCCAAGTGTATTTATAGGATTCATCTCTATTCTAAAATGTGGAGGCATTTTGATAGAGGTTTCTATCTTTTCATATTCAGGTAGTATAATGTTTTCAGTTTGTATGCAAGTTGTATGAAGAGGATTGTATATAAAGATTATATTGCAGAGCACATTTTATTTAAACTCTTATTAATATTCTGTTTTGTAATTAATGCATAGATGCTCTTAGTGAGTATAATTCCTTTTCCCTGGTCATAATATGTTAGGTTAAATGTAAAAATAAAATCCCTTCAGATCTTATTTTAGGACAATCTTCATTGATTATTTTGTCCTTAGAAGTGGCCAACACATTCTAATTTCTCCATTATCTTTTCTTGTCTAATTTCACATAATCCAATTTCTATCGACATGTACAAACAAATGCGTGTTTTTGAGATTATTTTATCTTCTGGACATTTTTCCTGATTTTTACATAACTTTTATATATTTTTACTTGGTGAAGCTATGTTTATTGAAGTTTTAAACAGCTATTCTTGTTAAGATCAACTATGTGTATAGAAACAATATTGTAAAGTTTAACGATTAAGTTAATATTAAAGTATCCCAGGATGGTAGAAAAAGAATGTAGAGATTGAAATGGGGGAAGACAGAACTTTAACAGTCTATCACTTCAGTACCTTTTGAGCTATATCTGAGAATGAGATAGGTAAATATTATACATCATTTATCTCATGCAGTATTTCACATGAATGGTGAATCTGTGGCAGTCCGTTTGACCAATTTTTCCTGAAACTGCTTAGTTTTACTGGCCTTAGATGTCCTTTCTGCAGTACTAGCATTCTTGTTTTATACCTCCTTTTTCAAGAAATGTATTTAAATTATTTGGAATTGCTGAAAATTTATAAATTCTTAGTCCATGATTATGAAGAAGAAAAAAATCTGGTTCAATGAGTTACAATAATTTCTCTTATCACCTTACTTTCAGTAGATATTAATTTCTTCAAAAGTTAATGAATCTAACTTTTTGAAGTTAGATTATTGCTTAATTATTGCAAAAGTTTGATTATTGCTTTTATGTTAAATAAAAAATTAAGACAATTAATGTAAATGATGACAATTCTGTACACAAAATATATTTTGGTCATTTAGCTAATAAATCTAATTTTTCATATATTTCCGATGGAAATTCTGGTACTTGTTAGCCTCTATGGACTGCTATCTGCAGTTATCTTGTTATTTAAAGTGTTGTTGTTGTTATTTATATTTCTTATTATTAAATGTTTATAACCTGAACACTGATAATTGTTGTAAGGCACTGATAATCCCTATCTTCATATGAAATTAGACTCTCATATAATAAGAAATATAAATATATTTGGTGTTGCCTCGTTTTTGCCTGTTTCTTATTAATATATATATATATATATATATATATATATATATATATATATATATATATATATATATATATATATATATATATACATGCACATACACATGTGTTAATAAGAAATATAAATATATTTGGTGTTGCCTCTTTTTTGCCTGTTTCTTATTAATATATGTATATATATATATATATATATATATATATATATATATATATATACATATACATACACATACATATATATATATTAATAAGAAATATAAATATAATAATAATATAGTAATTTAATAATAAGAAATATAAATAACAACAACACTTTAAATAACAAGATAACTGCAGATAGCAGTCCATAGAGGCCACGTCGCTCACAAGTACCGAAATTCTATTCAATTTTATGGAATAGTTTATATGTTCCATTCAATAAAATCAACAGACATTATTGACCACAACAATTAAAAATCATTAGCTTTAATCATTTCAAATGTAAGATACATAAAGTGGAAGAGGAGATGGCTGGCAGGGGTCTTCAGTATGAAGATTAGCTTGACTGACCTCGAGCTCAGCCCTGATATAATAAGGCAACCCTAGTTGGAACACCTATATAATATAATATAAATCTAACCATTTCGTTTTTGACATCTCATGTGGTTTCTTGACAACTATTGAATTATTACAATTAGGGGTTGAAAAATTGATGTATTAAACCTCTCATAAAAAACTTCAAATTTTCAACCTTCCACCTATAGTGCATTTTCTGTACTGTGAAAATCTGTATCTGTGAAAAAAAACCTTAGAAAAAAAATCTTGTTTTCATTTTTCCTCAGTAACTCATTAGTAGTACATTTTATTTTAAAATATGATATGACCTATGTTCAAGAATGTTAACAGTTTTGCAAGTTTCATTGGTAACATGCTGAAAAATTCGGAATAGCTATTGAAATACTACGTTGTTAAAATATGCAAAAATGGCAACAAATAATGTGTAAAAAAGTTGAAAAATGTCAGTGGTTTCGTCCTTAAACTGTTTTTAGTGCAAAACTACTCTTGTTGATGATTAAATTTTCTAAGAATTTATACAATATATTTTTAATTATTCCCAAGGTGCCAAGAAATATTAAAATAAAAAAATTTAGTGAAACTGAAAATATTTTATTATGTTCGTAATAAAATAACTCTATATGTGTTTTTAATATTCTTTTTTTTAAATAACAGGTTATATAGGAAATAGTCTATTAAAAAAAATAACTTATAAAAGTAAAAAGTGAGCCCTGTTCTCCCCTCAAAAAATTACTGAACATTCAATCCAAAATCTCTAGGAAATAGAACTGAAAGAATTGGGATTTTATTTAGCAGATGTGTCCTACCATACTACTAGTATGGTGCACCTTCCCTCTTCTCGAATCCCCAAGTTAGCTAAATAATAATATCATAATCTAAAATAATAATAATTAATAATAATTTCAAGTTGTTAGATAAGTATGAACCTTACTGTTTAAATAATGCTATCTCAATCTTACATGTTCTTTATCACGTGTATTCTATTGTAATTCAAACATTTTTTCTCATACAAGTTACCCCATTGTAAAATTACACTTTGTAAATATTATTTTTATTATGCAATACATTTTATGTTAAGTTTACTTTTATAGATAACATTGGTTTAAGTATTTAATTTTTTTTTTTAATTCAAACGTTACATTTTTTATACAATTCCAATTTTTATAGAATGTAAGAGGAACTGTCTTTTTACAGGAACAGAGTTACATAAATTTGCATTGATAAAAAAATTGTAAATCTTTCAGGTGTATTTACTCTCCAGTTTGTGGAAGGAAAAATGCTTCAATAATAAGAAAATCATTTGCTTCATTTTTATGTTTTTTATTTGTATACATATGGCATGGTGGCACAATCGGTATCTTTTATTGGTCTTTGTTTAATTTTGTTGGCTTACTTTGTGAAGCAATTTGTAGACAGTTCTGGAAGCGTGAGTTCGTTAATCGTTGGTTGGTATGTATTAAATGTAAAGCATTTTTTTATATCCTTATTAAAATTTTAATTATAATGTTTGTTAGTTGGAAAATTCCAACCACACAGCCTTGTGTCTCAAAATGCAGGTAAAGAATAAAATAACCTGTCAACGTTTTATCAAGGCAGAAAATAAAACACACAAATTGGTTCACGAGATTCAATTAGGGATCATTCACTGTTCCACAGTCAAGTTTATAGGGAGGCCAGAGAATTTAAGAAAGAGTGAAAAAAAGTAAAAAAGAAAGCCAAGATTGATGGCCTAGAATAAATCTTACAGGCGATGACATTCATGCATATTGAACGTGATTGGCAGTTCAATGTCGAAGAATTGTTGATTGCAGGGGGAATCTGATAAGTAAGTGCTCAAACCACTATTATGATCAATTAAAAACTTGTCTCTCAACCAAAGAAATTCTTGGAAAGATTTTAACTTACTTAGGAGGAGTTTTATTTATAGATTTCCTTCACAATCAATGAACAGTGAATGCAGTTTACTATTGCCAATTTTTGGAGTTGGAAAAAATTTCCCACCAAGACAAAAAACGAGTTGTAGCCGTTTGAGGTTTCAATTCAATTCCATTATAATATCATGTCTCACTCCGTGATCTTTAATAGGGATAAATTAAAGGTAATAGAATGGAAAACACTCCTTATATTCCAGACTTGTCCCCCTCTAACCATTGTTTATTTGAGATGTTGATGACCTTGAAGTTTTACACCTTAAAGCGCCAACAAACAAACAAGAATCAATCATTTTCTGTAATATAAAAATGAAAAATTTTTGTAATTTGCCTGTTGGTGGTTTTTTTCAAAATGATGAATTTTCATCATGCGAATGAATATGTGCTAAGTGACAGTGAACTGGAAACTAAATAAAAACATCACTTTCTGCTCAACTTAATATTCCTGAATGTAATATCAGCTTTAATCCAGTTTTTATTTAATATATAAAATTATAATTAAGGTAATTTACATAATTTGGATTAAAAAAAAATACAAATTTTCAACATATTCACAAATACTTGTATAAAAATACAATTAAAAAAAATATTTTTATTTGATTTTAAAAAATCTACAAAATGTTAAATTAAAAATTCACCCGTTGATGTTACTTTGTCCCATAGCAGGTTTGCTGTTTAATGTTACTGAAGTAATCCCTCCATATCCTGGATTCTTTTTCTTATCTTGCTCCTGTTCAAATTCAGTTGTGAAATATGAAGTATATAAATGAAAAAAAAAAATTGTAAATAAAGTTTTTAAAAGTAATCAACATTTAAATTAAAAAAATGAAATGTACAAGAGAAATTGGAAAGCTTTACTTGAAAATTTAACTGAACCATCATTTGGTAACTCTTAATGAAGATCTGAAAGTGGAGGGTACACATCGGGATGAATCATAAAATCCTTGAATATGCAGTTGATATAAATATCCTTGGAAGCAATCAACAGGACATTGAGAGACTCACTAATACTTTAATAAGAGAAGCAGAGTTAATCTAATCTGATTCATATTTTTAAAATGTATCATTTTTGCAATATTGGTATTATTTAAATTTTATTCTTTTTATGTAAATTTCTTCATGTATTCCAGATGGGGTCTGAAGATCAGTGAAAGTAAAACAGAGTGCATGGTTTTTAACGCTCCAAATTTGCCCCTTGAAATTGATGACTGGACGCTAAATGTCAGCCAGCAGTTCAAGTACCTCGAATACTGGTTATCTTCAAAGGGAGGTAGTGAGGTTGACATCGAACATAAAATAAATAATGGGAAAAGAATAATAAGTTCGATAAATTCAACCCTATGGAGTAAAGAAATAAGATTATAAACTAAAAAGAAGATATACCATTCCTTTGTAGAAAGCGTAGCCACTTACAGATCAGAAGTTTGGACAATGACAAAAAAGATGGAAAATAAGTTGCTTTCCATGGAAATGGATTTCTGGAGAAGAAGCTGTGGCATATTTAGAATTGAGCGGATCCCAAACGCAGCTATTAGAGACAAGGTCGGATGTCAAAAAAACATCCTTCACCTTATCGGGACCAAACGGTTAAAGTGGTATGGCCACTTAATGCGGATGGATGAGAACCGCTGGCCAATGAAAATTTATACCTATATGCCACCTAAAAGAAGGAAGCGTGGAAGGCCAAAGAAGAAATGGATAGAGGACGTGGAGGAAAGCATGGCAGCCAGAGGGCTTCGTGAAGGAGATTGGATGGACAGGGAGCAGTGGCGTTTGGGTATTGAGGATATGACTCTTTAAGTTGTATAAAACCCAAATAAAAAAAAATTTAACTTTTATTCTTTTTATGTAAATTTCTCACCATATTAGTTAGTTTTTATTATAGTTGTTAAATTGATAGCTTATTTTACAGGAGTCTAACCTTAGTAAACAAAATTTGAGAAGACTTGAAGCTTTAATTGCTTCACCTTTGTGGCTTTTTGCTGTTATCTCGAACTTCATGTTTTTTGGAGGTCATAAAATGGGAATGCTGTACTTCGAAAAGCTTTTTAAAGGTATTTTTTTCTCAATAATTTTAGATATTTACATGCTTACAAAATCAATTTTGCTCTTGATTTGTTTAATAATTAAATCATTGTGATACCTAAAAAAAACGTATAGACTTAGGTTACTTAATAAATTAAACATTTTTAGAACATTATTTGACAAAAAATCAATTCTTTTTTAAAGGTTTGTCCATCTTCTTTAATTTACTGTGAAAAACTAATGGAACAATCATGTCCGTATTATTTTCTAAACTTGAGTTATACAATAAGACAGTTTTGGTGTGTTTTATTTTTTTCTCTGCTCCTTGGACTAATTGGAAAATCAATTAAGCATGTGTCGATCTACCATCAAGTCAGAATCCTAACAAATTTTGACCAAATTCGGAGACAAATGCACTGTATACTCCCTTTGTGGTTATAAAAATATGGATGAACTTGAATATAAAAATATTGAATAACAACTTTGATACTATGTAACTGAAACAGGAGCTGCAGATTAGAAATAATGTACCAATTAAATTTCCTTTTTTTGCACTTCTGATCGTCTTTACTTCATGCAAGTTTATATGCATACACTTGTTATTTTGTTAGAGATGTTAATTTAGGGTCTCAGTAATAACAAAAGTTTTATTAAAGTGACGTTTATTTTAATTTATTCCAGGCTCTCTCCTGCTGAATGTATCAGTGGTTTTGATTGCTTATTGTATGTGCCAAGTATCAATTGAGACCGACAAGTTTGAAAAGAAGACAAGTGATAAATATTTAATCACTCATAAACTCGAAAAAGTCGAGTAAGGTAATAAATAAGGTTAAGTTTAGGAAAAATAAATTTAAATTTGCAGAATTTTACCTAAAATACTTATGCATTTTAGGATTCACTGCAGTTGACAAAGACAAGAAATGGTTTGGCTTCAACTAAGATTTTTGAAGAAAGAAATTCATAACTACTATATTCGATATTTAATGAGAAAAAAAGGATCTATTATAGATAGCACAGTCTATTTTACAGACTATGCTGCATCAATACAATAGTTAGAAAAGAATATCTAACTTAGGGTCCATTGCCTACTAACATATTTTTAATAAAATCATGAAATTGAATCCTGTGTGAAAAAGGCAAGATCTTTATTTAGCAATTGACTGTTTAATCCATACTATCAGAGTGAGAATGCTCCCTCTTATAATTAGGATATGGAATATTTTTAACTCACCATAGTCTGGCAATTCTTATTCTGCCTGAGATATGTATTAAAGTACTTTTTCTTGTTTAACTATGTGAACCAATCATATCACTTAAAGATCCATAATTTTTTTAAGCAATTTTAGAGATAAAAAGGGGTATAGTATACTAACTAATTACATCTCTATTTGATTTTTATAATCACTGCCTGATTACTTATATGATGTCAATTCTTTACAAATTTGGATTTCTCTGGAGTATGCATTAATCCTTCATAGCCTACAGAGTCTATATATTTACAATACACTAGCTAGTCCATGCAGGCTCAAAGAACTGGATTACTAGGAAACACTTAAATTGAATTTGATTTAAATAACAATTTTGATGACCCTATTTAAAAAGAAATAGGAATTTAAGTTGAAACTTAATACAGGTTTGAACCAGAAGTGGATTAAGGACCACCAGGAAATCTACTTTAATTTAGGTGTTTTTTTTTTAATATTTAGTTGCATTGCAAAACTGCTATTTTTTTTAAGCTGGTATGTATATGAAATAAATACATTAAATTAAAACACTGTATTATTGAATAAGTTATTACTTCTTGACAAAGTTCGTGAATATTAATCTATCTTGGAAATTCCAATATTTCATTATTTTACTTGTTGATTTCATTTTTAATTAACCTGGACAAATAAATACTTATGGTAGATTAATGTTTCTGTAACAGTTTATGTATGTCTGTAACAAGTATATATATATATATATATATATATATATATATATATATATATATAGAGAGAGAGAGAGAGAGAGAGAGAGAGATATTTAGGTTCTGTTGTTTGTTCTTAAGTAGTTTCTTAGCAATTATAAATACAAAAATGAAAAATATTCTTAGAATTTAAAATCTAAACAATTAAATTTTAAGCCTGTGTGAGCTTTAATTCATTCTAAATCCCCATAAAACATATTCTAATTTAGCAAGCACCTGAAATAAAATAGTACAAGATGAACAAAAAACTTTTTTTTTTAACTTTTATTATGATATTTACAACTGTATTAGCATGAATACATCTAGTAAATTTGTACAGAGAAATATTATTACATGAAACACGCTTGTTGAGAAACTACCCACTGGTAGCACTCTAATAATTTGTCTACATGAGAAGATCACGAGGCCATCTTCTTTTCAGACGCCTCGGAGGGTTATCAGGAATCGAAGAGGAAGCAAGGTTAGAAACAAGAGGATTCGGATGGTTATGAAGTTTATTATAGAAGGATAGGTATCTGGATTTGCCCAAATCGGAAACATATGGAACATTGAGGTCTTTATGGATTATTTTATTAGTGACAAAGTAAGGAGCATTGAGGATTTTACAAAGGATTTTGGATTGTAAGGATTGGATGCGAGAGGAATCCGATGGTTTAGTGAAGCCCCATAGCTCAACTCCGTAAGTCCAAATAGGTCTTATTATAGTCAAGTATATGAGTCTTTTGTAATTAAGGGGAAGTTTAGAGCATTTGTCTAGTAAGTGTTGGAGTAGTCGGAAACGTCGAGCGGTTTCTTGTCGTTTCAGTCTGGTATGAGGATTCCAAGTTAGACGTTTGTCCAAATGAAGTCCAAGGTATCGGATTTGTTCAAGAGGGATAAGTGGGGTATTATTAAAGGATACTGTGGGACATGAGATCATAGGTTTACGTCGAAGGGTAAAGGTGATTTGATGGGATTTATTAGAATTTATTTTAATCCTCCAGTTTTGACACCATTCTTCAAGGCTTGTGATGTGTGATTGAAGAGTTTGGGATGCAATGGTTGGGTCATTATTAACGGATAGGACACATGTATCATCGGCATACGTGGTAATAACAGTGTTAGGATGGGTTGGGATGTCAGCTGTATAAACTGCGTAAGGCACTTCAAAGTAAATCACAATAATACCTATTCATCCCTCTTTTCTCAATCTGCCGGAGTTCCTCAAGGTAGTATCCTTGGTCCTATCCTTTACACAGAAAAAAAACTAAAAGGTATTAAAATATAAAGATAAAAAATACATAAAATAATTATTAATTTACAGAACAATATGTTTAAGCCTCTTATTTTTAAAAGTCTACAGTTTTCACATGATTTGAAAAAATCTTTAATGAAAATAGAGATACAGTGAATATTTAAAGAATAGTGTATGAGATCTACTGGAGGCCATCCTGCATTACTGCCAACTAATCTCAAACATTTATTTAGAAACACTGGTAATTTATTATGTATTGGATAATTCAGAACAAGCATAGTATACAATAGGTCTGATGTTTAAGTTTTTATTAATAATAAAGTATAATAATAATAAAGTAAAATACAGTACATTTTTATTTATCAAATTGTACTTGGATAACTAAGGGAATAATGTTTGTATGACTCTATTAGCCTTATTTATTAGTGTATATATATATATATATAAGTTAAGGTACGGAGCGGGACAGTATTAGCGCTAATACCAAAAGCACTGATGTAAAGAAGCTCAGAATGTATATATAAAGGGATGTATATTGTTTCAAGTCCGTTACACTTAACTGGTGCCGAAATACGGGATATCCAGAGTGCGGAGGTACGTTTTTTTTCGATCTGGAAAAATTCACAAAGATTCCTGAAGGAGTGGCATAGAGGCCGGCGGCCCCTCTGAACGTACCCGAAGTCCCTGCATTACCGCAGGGAACATTAGACGCGGCACACGCAAATGCAGTAGAATGGGTGAAGATCAGGGTAGCCACTTCACAGGAGAAACAGGTTAGCTGAACCATTTCTTAAAGGGATGGAGATTGTCTGATGGCGAGAATAAATGCGAAAATAAGAGAAAACCTCTTTAACGCCGGAGACGCGGAGGCTTTTAAGGCGGCTTTGGTGTGCAGGGTAAAGAGAAGTATCCTAAACCATACCCAGGCGGACGAAGAGACACCGTGGGAAACATTTGAAGAAGGCATACGGAAAAAGCAAGATAACAACCATTTGGTCACAGCCAGGAGCGAGGGAAGACCAGATTTAAGAGCTCTGAAGGACGCTTACAAACCTGGGAAAACTCGACACTTATACGTGGGGAACGAGACAATCTGGGAGAAAATAAAGAGAATATGGCGATCTGAACGAATATGGTTAGACAGGAGGTTCATTCGTTGTAAATTGATGGTGGACACAGTGCGGGACGAAGAACAGCAGGAGGTGAGGCTTGCCTACCATCAAGGCAAAACTAATCACCGCGGAGCGCAAGAGACATTCCATTCATTGCGTCGTAGATATTTTTGGTGGGGAATGAGGAAAACAATAGAGGAACTAATAGGGGCGTGCGAGGTTTGCTTGAGTACAAAGTATGATAGGCACCCCCCCCCCCCAAGAGCAATGCAAGAAGAGACACCCACAGTTTATGGACCGCTGAGTGATTTGCAAGTGGATACCTTCACGAGGAGAGTGTCAGCCGAGGGGTGACCGCACGCTAGTAAATCATAACATCAGGGGTAGAAGCTGCTGGTTGCCTATAAAGAGGTGAGAGGAGGAGTGCGGTGCTTGGTGGACACCGGGAGTTCCAACACTATCATGACTCGTGGAGCGTTGGAAAAGCTGTATGGTGGAGAGAGGACACTCCAAATCCAGGTATGTAACTGTAAGTTAATCACGCTGGGTGGCCCGTGTAGAGTAGAGGGGGAAGTAGAGATAGGGTTAAGGAGGTGGGCGGCCAAGAGAGGTAACCTTAAGGTGCATGTGGTAGGAGAAATGGCCCGGGAATACCAATTAATCATAGGGTGTGATATGTTGGGGAAGATGGGCACGCGAATCACAAATAAAGGGGAAACGTGGAAAATAGGTATAGGGAAAATGAAGTATACGAGCAGAGCGATAATAAAGATTGGGGACAATAGAGCGCGCATAGAAGCGATGAGTCGAGCCGAGGATTGGAGATTATCCGTGACAAGGGAGTTTAAAGATATTTTCTTTAAGGAAGGGGATATATTGGGGTTGGCGGGTAGAACGGTGCACGAGATCCCGCTGAAGCACGAACAGGTGAGTTATGTAAAAGATGAGAGGTACCCGCAGGCTCTCCGCCAACACATTATGGAAGAGTTGAGGGAAGTTTAAAGGAGAATAATTTTTGTACAGCACGTCGCCATACAATAGTCCGCTCTGGCAGTGAAGAAGAAAAGCGCGCCCGGAGAGAATATGGAGAAGTACCGGGTAGTAATAGATAACCGCAAGCTTAATGAAAATACCGTGGATGAAAAGTATCCGATCCCGAAGTTTGAGGACATCTTGGCTAGGTTGAGCGGGGCAACGGTATTTAGCATTCTGGACTTAAAAGCGGGATATCACCAAATTAAAATGAACCCGAGAGACCAGTCGGAGACAGCGTTCACTTCCGAGAAGGGACACTATGAATTTACTAGAATGCCGTTTGGACTCAAGAATGGCCCTATAACATTCCAGCGGCTAATGGACAAGTTTCTAAGAGGGATTGATGAAGACTTGTGTCAAATGTATATGGACGACTTGTGGGTGTTTAGTAAAACCGAGGCAGAGCATGTGGAGCATCTACGGATTGTATTTGAAAAAGTGCGACAATTTCGGCCGAAATTTTCTAACGAGAAGTCTCTGTTAGAGCAAGACCAGATAAATTTTTTAGGTCACACGATCTCAAGGAAGGGAGTCAAACCCGATGCACAAAAAGTGGGGCCATGTTATCACAAAAAGGAAATAGGGGGATCGCCCCGTAGCATATGCCAGCAGACGCTGAATCTAGATATTAGTGTTGCCCAAAATTGGTCTCGGTCTTGCAGTCCTGGTCTTGGTCATGCATTTTTGCAAGACCGAGACCACAAAAATTGTTGCAAGACCAAGACCAAGACCAGACCCTTCAAGTCTTGCGCAAGAACAAGATCAGACCCTGCAAATCTTGCAGTTAAGTTAAACTGAGACTATTTTCAGACATAGTACGGTGCTTAAACATATTAATCATCTATTCTAAACAGCGTTGCTTTTTCTTGTGGAATTGTATATTTGAGTATAGCTTTCCAAGTTATAATAAAAAATTAATCTTTTTTTTTTTTGTTCTCCTCCACCTCGCCATTTAGGTTACACGAGGGTTTTCGCGGGCCAAGGGGTGAGGTCGGGGGATTAATGCCAGAGTTAAAAGAACTCATAATTATTTTATTGTCTCCAACTTCGATTATCAGGTTGCCGGGCAACGCGCTATGCTGTGTACTCGTTAGTCCGCTCGGCCACCCCTCCCATAAAAATTAATCAATTGCCAGAACCGGAACAAGATAAGAAAACAAAAAAAAGAACGGTTTTCATGGAGAAAAATTACTAGCCTAGAAAAAATACTAGCCCGTTTTAGTTATTATAATGAAACTTGTCTTCATAAGAAGCGGACGGGGAATCAAAAATAGCCCGCAATAGAGAGATGTATGTTTAAGAAAAATTGGAAAAAAAACATGATAAAAAATAACATTTAGAAAACTATCACAGCATTTTTCTTTTTAAATTTACAAATTAAAACTATTTTTATGAGAAATTTAATAATATATTTTGTAAAACAAAGGTAAAGTTATTTGTATATAGAAAAAAAAAATATTAATTTGTAATTTTTGTTTGGTCTAGCATAAATATTTTGTTTTCCAATTTGTTATGGATAGATAAAATCGTTACAATTATTCCACTATCCTCGTTCAAAATGAACATTGTTTCTCAGCCAACTAATTTGTGAAAGAACTTAAATTTTCATTGAGAAATTCTTTAATATAA